TGAAAAATTACAAGACAAATCAAAGAAGCATTTCAAGCAAAAAAAGCAAATGATATACTGAAAATTCAGGAACGATTGATATTTTCCCTATTGTTATGCTTTATTATCGTTTATAGCATGCGGTACCATTCATCATTCACTGTCTCTTCTAATAAATTGAATTTCATCTAATTTGAATTTCACCTATCCTACAAATACCACATGGTACCATATATCATTAGCAATTCCCAAGTACCACAATTACTGGAATGTAAAGTAGCGCATAGCTTACTTTAAGCAAATAAGAATTAAATGAGTAAGAAAAGAAGCACATGGCAATATAGGATTTGATTAATTATGTGCATTCAAACAAATTAAATAAAATGTAAATTGTTGACCTGTTATCTCTCACTCTTCCCGTTCAATTGTAAGCAAACAAAAAAAGATTGAAATTAGTGAAATTGTTAGTATTGTTCACTAATTTTAGACAGTATTATCAGTAGTAATTTAGCAATTTGTTTCGCTTTGCATTGCAAAAATTATAAACCGTTTTCAGAATGATCTAAAAATTGAATTCATTCCCAACAATCAATAAATTTTAGTTGCAATCAATAAATTTCAGCTGCATTATTGTTTTCTTTTTTTTATCAAATGAAAAAGTAAAATATAAATTGAAACAAAAAAAAAAAAAGCCAAGCAGAATAATACCTCCTCCCAATGATCGAGTGTATTCAAAAATGAAACTATAAAGTGACTGAAGAAATGAATAGCAATTTTGGTTTCATTAGCAGAAGTTATCATCAATAAGTAAGCAAATAAAATTATTGGGAAAAGTTTAAGTAATGAAATAATCAATTAGTATACTCATATACTCAAGAATGATATGATGAATAAGTATGGGTAAATGTAGGTGGGTAAATGTAAAGTGGGTAACAACAGTATCTGTAATGAAGGTCCTTTAAATTCATCCTATTTTCTTCCAAACCAACATTGAAATGCTGCTGTTGCTACCGCTGCAACGTTGAAAAATAATCAATACTTCAATGTGTCTCCTTGCTCTGTTTCACCTTCCCTTCTCTCCTTCTCTCCTTCTCCCTTTCTCTCTCTCTCTCCCTTTCAGAGTACAATTATCGGAAAAATGTTGAAGTGTTGGGTCGATCAATGCTCATAGATCACCGAGAATCGCAAATGTATACAATGCCGAAGTTATTTATTTGTTTATTTACTCTTTTATCAATTTATCTTGAAATTTCAAATTTTAAAATGGTAGGACAAAAGACAGAGATGGAACTCTTTCTTTCTTTCTTTCTCTCTCTCTCTCTCTCTCTCTCTCTCTTTCTGTATTTCTCTTCTTCCACTATACCTGAAGAATTGACGGAAAATGTGATAAGGTATACTGATTGCAGAAATTAAAAAAGTGATAGATGCGATAATTAGCATTCATCCTACTTCCATTCCCATAGCTATTCTTATTATCATATCATATCATGTAACCTTATCAGCACAAGATCATATGCATGTGACAACACTGCCACCCAGTATGTGACATGGATGTGTGTCCTTAGGCCAAGAGCAGATAATTTCTTGAATGTATGTGTTCTGACCATGTCATAGCTGGGAGATATGCTTCGACGAAGATTGAATGTAAATAGAAGTTAAAAAAAAAAATGAAATATTTTCTTATCGAAAATAAATTGTAAAACGAATGAAAATATTTTTTTAATTAAATTCAGTTATCATTTGTGAAAATTTCAGCAATACTTTTATGTAATAATGCAGAATAGATAATGAATTTTAGAAAATAACAGTTATTATTTTAGGAATTTTTATTTGATGCTTTAAATTTTCATCTTTATTGATCATATATTTTTCAAATCTGATTTTATGCATTCAATAGTTTAATTTCTTCAAATACAAATCTAACTTATTCGACTAATGAGTACATTAAATTAAACGTTCTAATATTCCACTAATCAAATAACCTAAATTTCCATTATACTGAATAAAGTACGCAAATGTATCTAATTATGAAGAACAAAGAAAAATTTTACTAAAGGTCAGGAAGAGAGGTCAAAAATTAGATAAACATACCGGATTCTAATTTGCTTATACAAAAATATTTTGGGTAGAAAGTTAATCTCTTCTTCTCTCGAATTTACCCTGTCCAATATTTGTTTAGAATTACTGAATCATCATCCATTTATTCATTCGCATACTGTTCATATTTCAGTTCAAATTCCTAAAAATTGTTCAATTCTGGATTGTGATGTTTTTATTCAGTGACAAGTGACAATTTTTAGCTTTCTTAAATTAAAATCTCTGTTTACATCTCCGACAGTATTTACTTACCTTTTTCCACTGTTCAAAAAAAAAAATTTTTGTCCAAATTATGCGTCCTTCGCCTCAAAAGAAAAAACTTTTTTACCCAAATTATGCACTTTGTTTATTCAAATTTTATTCCCGTTTTGTTTATCCAAATATGCACTCAATCAGCACTAACTTTAAATAACTTTTAAAAATTTTAACTGCACCAATTTGAGTCTGAAACATTATTTTCGTTTTCTATTTTTTCAATTTATTTTGCACTTCTTGTCTTTCCTTTTAAAAAAAAAAAACACAAGCAAATGAATATCGAGGATAAATCTAATCCAAGGCATATTTCAATTTCTCAAATCAATTCCCATGTACCTGAATGATGTTGCAAGTATGAATTAACAGGATTCTTTATCTATCCTGTCCCCTAATTCAGTTCTGAAAAATGAATGCAAAAAAAGTGTGAATGAAGCGATGCGATTTTCACATTCCTCTTCATTAATCTTTACTGCTTTTGCTTTAGTAAGGTCATATTAATACTTTTAATTTTTTAAAACACATGAAAACTTAGACACAAGACACCAAGAAATAAAATCCATTTATAAAATAACATAGAGACATAATATAGAGGAAACAAACCAAAGAAATAAAACAAATTACTAACAACCTAAACAAAAAAAAATGAATTAAAACACGCTGCGTCAATAGCTATAAATAAATATATAACAGAATGCAAGTTTTAAATTCATAAAAGACCGGAATCAAAAAAGAACACAAATTAAAAATAGTGATTTTGAAATCCACAAATACGAAAATGTGCGTTCTCCCATAGAAGAAGCAGTATTTTCTTTTCTTGCAAATACTTACAATCTAAATTGTTTGAAATTGTGCAAAATTTTCATAATAAAAACCAAAATTGATACTCAAGCGGGGCCCATAACATAGTAACCTACTTAAGTTTCAAAGCAGGATACAGATGAAACCACAAATTGAAGAGCTTCAAATAAACCCATAATGGATCAAATTAAAGCACCTAAAAAAAAGACATTCTCACCAAACAAAAATAATTATCAAATAAAAACAAAGTATTAATGGACTGTAGAGGTGACTACATTTACAAAGTCTTAACTTCATGGTAATGAAAGGAATCAAAAGAGTTAGAAAAAACCTGTGATGGAAAACATTTATTAACACTTCAGAGAAATATACTAACTTTAGAATAAAATATGATCCAGCAGTGATTGTCCCTATCATAAACCATCAGTAGTTAACAAAGCAAAACATACTCGAAAATAGCAAATGTAAAAATAGCATTGACAGGTTTTTTTTTCTTTTTGAATGAGAAATTATACATTTAACCATCAAGCGTTTTACATATATCACGAAAACATAATCTTTAATCTATTTACATAATATGATGCCTCTTCAATTATATAACATTGCTTGGGTTTATGTACACTAACAGTAATCAGATAACAAAAGAAATGTAACAATATATACAAGGAAGCTTGAAGCTTAAAATTGCTTTCCAAGTCAAGTATCTTTTTATCATAGCATTTGTAAATAAGAATATTAGATTAACATTTTTAAAGGAAAAATAATTTGCACGAAATATTTCGAAGAACTCTGAGTTCATAAATTTAATTTTTTTTTTTTTTAATTTTACAAGGAAAACGTCGATGCTCCCGTAAAAAAAAAAGAAATCTTATGTGGTAAAAAACAAAGAAGGAAAAAAACAATGGTAGGAAAAAGATTTCATTAAAAAATAATCTATATAGCACTGTTATGAACAAATCTGAACTCAATCACGTACCATCCCCTAAATACTTCAAAAAATAATACAATAATCAAAATCAAATGTCATATAAGAAGAGGAAAAGAAAGAAGGATATCTACTATTAAATAGAAACAAGTTAGTCAAACTTACCTTCACCCGTATTAAATTCACTTTCAAGGTAATAATAATGAATTTTACCATAAAAGCGATTTCAAAACGACTCTTCCAATTTCAAAAACGAAATTTAAAACGATTGTAAGAAATCAATAATTTTGTATCGTATTTCATCCACCAACCAATGGAAAATTGCTTCAAACAAACCCAACTTAAAAAAATGAATAAGATATGCACAAAATATGTAACATTCAATAACATTTTGTATACTTAAAGAGAGAAATTGTAACAAAAAAGGCCAATACATCAAGGCTAATAGTAAAAAAAAAAAAAAAAAAAAAAGTTCTTTCAGAATCATACAATCTTATCTACCACAATCCTTGTTTAACACCTATTTCCACAATTCTTAGTTTATCTAACAATAAAGAACATCTACCGAAGACAAGTGAATGTGAACTGAATTTTAAAAGGTCAAACAGTTATTTAAAAAAAGTCTAAATGAAATGAACCAAAATTAATTCTAGCAATTGCAGAGAAAATAATAAATATACAAATAATACAAAGTGTAGAATGAACAACAAGCAATGCAAAGGGATCGAATACTTACTCCAGCTTTAGTTTTGGTGCTCTCATCTCAATTCGAATGTGGGTTTTCTAAAGCTACAACGGTACGATATTTCATTGTCCTTGCGATTTACCGGACCGTTCTGAGTGGCAACTTGCGATCAACTTTCAAAAAAAAAAAAAAAAACTATTTAAAATGAACTGGAGAAGTACTACTGCCGGTCAATATTGAGTAATTCCCACAATCATCCCATTAGACATTGACCTGGGTTTCACGTGCCTGACACTGACGTAAGTCCGTTTTTGAATCCTAAACAAATGACACGTATGAAGTACAAATTTATCAAATCAATTCACAGATTCAATTTCGGTTCAGTAAATTAAATTTTTTGGAATTTCCAATTTCTAAAGAAGATTCCTTCAGTTTCTCAACTCGTTGATTTAAACTGCAATTATCCTAAAATTATTTCCTCTTCCCAATTATAAAAATATACCTGCTTGACCATAGCACCTTGACAAGTTTCCAGGTGTTCAGGTGGATGATTATCGCAGCAAGATGATCCAGACAGATTTGCAGCAGAACGTACAGTTACCATCATTCGTCTTACTTGCCCACCCATTGGCTGCTGTTGCTGAGTTCTTGTCATTATTCCGTTACACTGTAACTTTGATCTTCTGTCTACTTTATCGAAGATATTACTGCCACAAGTCGCCTGATATGGTGCCATACGAACATTGGCATTGGGAACATATGACGAAGAAACGACATGAAACTGGAAAATTTCTTTTTAGAAGTTTGACTAACTTATACAAATCTACAAAGAAGCTACATCAATTAATTATTTTGAACCTTAAACTTCGGCTTAATTCCAATGAATACGAGCACAAGCTTAATAACCTAACTCAGATGAAAGAAGTAGAAAAGCCATACCATTTGTTGTGGAGGATAGATCGGTTGGGGAAGCATGCGTGGATACAGAGCCATTCCATTCATGTTGACAATTTGACCTGGCGGTAGATGGAAAGGTGGTGGTATAACATGTGGAGTTTGTAATAACGGTACTCTATCTGTATACCGTAATGGGGAAGGTAATGGTATCTGAAAGTTTTTCGAAAACTAATTACTTTGTCTTGTTCTCAATTAAATTTCTAGAATCAAAATTAGGCAAATAAGTAGTTTCCTCAATCACAACAGTTACTTTAATCAGAAAAGAATTTTTAATATACGATGAAAAAAAGATGCAACTTTTTCCAGAACTATCAAATGACAACTTCTCATTTTTATGACACAGAAAAATCCATCTATCAGCAATGAACATACCTCCGATACGTGTAATGGATACTGATTACCACTGTTACTGACTCCATTCATGAAATGCATTACTGGAGCGGCACACTGTACGACACTATGCCCATAGCTCGGAGCTTTACGAATCACTAGTTTTTTGATATTATTCTGCTTCTCAACATTTCTTTTCGCTGTTTTTGGTACACTACCATTTGGACTTGATGATTGTTCCCGGAACGTTGCTTCAACTTTCGTTGTAACTACGTTGTATGGCTGCTTCGGGTATACCGATCTCGCTGGACTTTTATCTGCCGTAATATCTTCGAATATTTTATACTCTGGCGATCGTTTTAAGACTGCTCGCCCATCGATTGATTGATCTAAAATGACCACATTACTTCTTTAATAAGGTACATACATTAATAACATAAAAATAACAATAATTTCAGCATAACGTAAAATACCACTAACTTAATAAGCAAACGATTTAATATTCAAAAAACGTTGAAAATGTATATTTAGATTTAAGAGGAATATTAAATATTGATCTTGGAAAAAAATTGTCAACAGACGATATTCACGCAATACTAGATTTGAATTTATACAATTTAAACTAATGAATAATTAAACTGACATATATAATTAAACTAATGAATAAATACATTGTCTTGACCTCGAAAGGGAACGGGTAAAAATGAAAATCCATCAATTACAAGTATGATGGTTTCCTAGATCCGCTTTTCATTGCACTCAAAACAACCATAATCCTCTGACAGCAAAAATTTACCGGAATCATGTTCACCTTGTTCCATTCGAGCACTTAATCGTGCTGCAACGATACGATTCATCACATTGAAATGCTCCTGCATTTGATGAACATCACGAGTGCTGTCATTACTGAAACAAAAACCCACAGTTTGTATATAGTAGGTAAAAGAAAACTTTGGGATTTAAGAAATTCCGAAAAATCAAAGACAAAACCACACCGGAATAAATTTCCTGGAGTTTGCAGTTTGGTTTCCGGTGCACCGTTTTTCACCCATGGATGTTTTAATACTTCATCGGCAGTGAAACGCTGACGAACGTTTTTAACCTAAATAAAAAGGAATAACTGAAAACTTTGCGAAAAGAAATTTTGAATGATTAATATAAGAGTGACTATTCTTGTCCAAAAAGTCTACCAGTAAATGGCAAATGAGATCCTTCGCTTCCTCACTCACATTCTCCCATTCCGGAGCCGGAAAATCGAACTGCCCTTGTTGAATGCGTTTAAACAAATTTTCCTGACAGTCGTTACATGTTAGGCCTGAAATCAGCCATAATGTCAGTGGCCGAATTACAGCTGGCTATAACCTTGAAATCGATTGAAAATTTGAGATTATTCCTTGTCATTACATAAAATTATGGCTTTCCGATATTTTACCGGATCCGCAGAAAGTTTGAGACAAAATTTTAATAAATCCACATAAATCCAACCCTGATCCCAACCACAGTTTTCACGCCAGCATTCACCATAAAATGGCGGATAACCACATATCATGATGTAAACAATAACACCAAGTGACCACATATCACAACGCTTATCGTATTTAAGTGCATCGCCAACGAAAGCATCCACCACCTAAAATCAGAAAACTAATTTTTTCTAGATTCAGGAGTTACGAATAATTTCAGAAGAGTGATAAATAGAATTAATGTGAAAAATAGCTACTTAAAATTTCGAAATGATGACAGTAAAGTTTTTTGAGATTCCAAAATTCCAATAAAAACGTAATCAAACCTCCGGAGCCATAAATTCTGCACTTCCTACAGGGCTTGCTAAATCTGGCTCACTGTTGACATTGGTTAATCGTGGTGAAGACGGAGGACTCGCCTTACTTGCAAGGTCGAGATCACATAGTTTCACCGGGCTTACGCGATCGATATCTGAACATAACACATTTTCTGGCTTCACGTCGCGATGTGCAATTCCTAAAATCAAAACCAAACTTTAATTAGACGTTAAGATTGAAAATCAATAAAGCTAAAACTAGCCATATGCATCCCTCTAAAAGTTCTAGTTTAAGATTTAAGAAAATGTTTTTCATACGTTTTGTTACCACATATGCAACTCATCCCTATGTCAACCAGGATTTTATTAGCTCTACAAATAGGATCCGAAAACAAAGTCCATTATTTTGACCCTTAGATTAAACTGAAACTTGCAAATTTACCACGATCATGTAAAAATTTGAGCGCTGTGGCAATGTCTTTTGTTACTTTGCTTGCTTCTTGTTCGGTAAAAAATTTTTTGCGTTGGATATGATCGAGTAGAGGACCACCGCGCATTTTTTCGAACACCAAATAAAATCGGTCATGGTCTTCGAACCACTAAAAAATTTGAACATATGGGAGTTTAAAATTGGGTTATGTGAATTCAATATGAAGGAGCTTTGCATTAAATAAACTAGCAAGACATACAAATTGCACCGTTATGTCAAATAAATTGACATATTGAAACGGTATAAAAAATTCAACAAGGTATAAAAAATTTCGAATAACTAGTGACAATATTCTCAACTCTTTTTACATTTTTTAGTATTAAATTTCGTAGAAGCAATTTAATTCTTATCAACAGAGTCATAAAATCACAATACCTCATGTAGCTGCACGATATTTGGGTGATTTTTGCATAGATTAAATGTTTCAACTTCATGTATAACGCGTGAGCGTGTATGACCCGCTTTATGTTTATCAATCAGTTTAATAGCGAATTCTTTACCAGTTGCAAGTGAAATACCCGTTCTAACACTTGCATATGCTCCTGACCCAAGATGATCATCCACTAGCTTATAGAAATCTGAAACTATTGATTTTGGTTCTACTGATTATATTAAACATATAAAGGAACTCTGGCAAACTCTTTCATTTCCTTTTTTCTTTAAATAGGAGCAGAATGTGAAACATTAATAATCTATACGAAGTTTATTTTTGATTTTTGAAAATTTTTTCGACTGAACTAATGCTGAAAATTGTATTTTTTATATGATGTAATAAAGTGCCAAGAATTTTATTAAAAAAATAAGTGCAAAAAACCTGCAAAATGGCTTCGAGCCTTTTTATGATAACGTGATTTGCAACCGGATAAGCTGTAGGTACGCATGCCTAATGGAACGAGTTCAGCAGGCTGTTCTTCGGATTCTGATTCTCCATCACTTAGACCATCAAATTCACCCTCTATAGGATTATCCGAAAATCGACCCGAAATAAAGCTAAAAAAATTTATAAAAATGAAAACTGTGCTAAAATATTAACATAAAAAACTATGCAAATATGTTCTATTATCATTATGATTTCGAATTATAAAAAAATTTAGAATTTACTCGCGAGGCGAACTTCCTGTCGTTGTTTCCGAAGAACAACGACCACCGCCATAGCTTTCTGTGGATAATGTCGTTGTAGAACCTGAAAAAAGTTTCTATCAATAACTGCAATGTTGAACTTCATATTCTTTATATCTTCAAGGCTAAATAAGAAATGATCCGACGAAATACCTACAAATTCAATGCTTACAACATGATTAATAAAAAAAAAAAATGGATAAGTCTTCTCCAACCAACAAAAAAGCATCGCTCATTTTTATGCTTATGTTACTTTCTAACATTAGAAGGCATCAACTTCTCCAACTGCTCTATGTAATTGTAAAAAAAAAATATGAAGCGCAATTTAGGAAGACAATTTATTCAATATAATCGTATTCTGCTTCTAAAAGTTCTATACTTATAGAATGTAATGAAAAAAATCTTTTCAATCAGAAATTCTTCTACACTCTCTTTAATCTTACCAGAATTCTTTGCTCGCTGCCACTCTTTGCTATTTTGTGCACTCCCGTCAGTCGGTTTTTGCGCTTTAATCCTACTTTCAGTTTGCTCTTCCCGCCGCGGATTCTGCTTATGAGGTGCTTCGCCCACTCGATGTTCCTCCTCGTTATCTGATGCTAATGGAGCGTCTGAAACAAAAAATTAGTAAAAACTGATAGTTCTTTGCTAAATATGCCTACCAATTATAGTAGAAAAATTTTTATCTGAACTGCAAAAGTATGTTTTATTAGTAGAAAAAAAAAAAGCTTGGGATTTTCTTTCAGTTTTCATCTCAAGAAAAATCCAATATTTTGATTTCTAAAGAAGTCTTTGTTTCCCATTCTTTATCATTTTAAATGAAATAATCAGACAAAGTACTGCTTCAGAATAAATGCAGCATTATCAATAAATATACAAGGAAAATTGCCTAAATCAAAATTAATTTCGGAAGCTAAACTGGCTTTCAGTCATCAATAAATAACTAAACAAACAAAACATCGAGAATTATTTTTTAAAAAATTTTTTAAAGATATAAAAAGTTGATAAATGATTTTTTTTTTTAATCTAACCTTGTCTACTTTACCTCAAAATCGTTAACCAATTCTCTTCTTCAGAAGTTTTCCTCAAAAACACGTTATAACTTGCTGTTAAAAATGTTCAAAGTCAACTCCACCTATTCCTAATTTCCTCCTTCTACTTTTTATAGACCATATTAAGAAATCACATCCTGTAACAATTTACGCAAAAATTGCTTTGATCAATCAATAGAAAGGAAAAAAAAAAATTCTAAACAGGAATAAAACATAACGTGCAACATTTGATGACTGAAAGTGTCTGATTATAAACGCAGCAGTATAGAAAGGCGAGATAAAAGAAATTGCTGAATTGGTAAAAATGACGATTATCTGTACTAACCGTCACTAACATCATAAACATTTCAACGACAACCAGCTCGATCATTTCTCATAATGGCATCTTTTTCACTGTTCACACTCAACAATACTTTCCATAAATAATATCTCTGCCCTATTTTCTGTAGTTATTGATCCTTCTTTTTCACCATCACGAATTATCAAGAAGCAACAATCTGCACTGGATTTAAACAGTAAAAAGTTCATGCATTATCGTTTAATGATTAGACGAATGAATACATGAAATTTCAAGTTGAAATCATCATAAACTTTTTAAGTACTTTTATGTTGAAATAAAACTTTCAAATTTAGAAGAATGAAGTATTTTAAGCAAGTTTCACAAAAACAAAAGCTACACAGATGAAGTAAATTGAAGAAGACGCAGTGAACTGAAGATATTATTAGAGAGACAAGGGTGTAAAATATATTACTGTCAGTAAAATGAAAAAAAAAATTATGCCCTGGTACCTCTCTCCTACTGCAAATACTACTGTTGAAGTAACAGTATTATTTTACACATGATTCTTACAACCAGCTCCAAATGATCTAGTTTCACATTTGTCGCCATCTATAACTGTCATATGTACTACGTATGACATTTTTTTTAAGTTTATTCCATTAAACTTTTAAATTCAGGTCTTCACCCTATTATCTCTTAACTTCGCCATATATAAATATAATAATCTGATATATCATGCAGTTTTACGCATCTACGTTTTTTGCAAGTTTTTCTCGATAACTTTGTTGTAAATATAATCAATGTCTAAGGGAAAATGCGCAGTTTCTTAAATTCCAGAAAAAAAATTTTAACTCTGTAATGAGACAATTCTAAATGAGAGTTGTCTTTTCTTAAAACATTTTCATTCACCACCTTAAATGAAAATAAGTTCAAAGACCAGTACCTTGCAACCTGAAAGATTACGAAAATCCAAATATTCTATTACTATTCTCATTAACTTTCAAATACTTCCAGTAGTAGCCTACCTGAATGCTGAAGGTAAATAATCAATTATAATCTGTTTTCAATGAATCAGAACTTCAGAAATCTTTACTGACTTTAGCCAAAAATTGTGCCATTGAACTTTAAGACCGAAAGAACTTACATGATATAATTTTATGGTGGCAGAAAAATGATGAATGTAGCAGGAAGCTGCAGATAATACTGACACCAAAAGCGCTACATTCACTTTTTGACAATGAATTACGAGACGTTTTCGCATTTCTGTGGAAAAAGAAAACAGAGATTTTCAGCTACTCTCTCAACAAGAATTTTTGATGTGAGAACACGAAAGATTTTGTGTAAGTCTATAAAAAAATATTAGAACGGTTTGGGAAAAATAAAGCTTAAAATCGAATGAAACTGCAAAGCATCTACAGAGATTTTGTACAGAACAGCTCACCATATTATCTCCTTACAATAAAACTATTCTCACAAAAGTCAGCGATTATAAATTGGAATGCCGAAAAGAGTATAAAGATTGATAGGGCATCAGAAATTACAAAATGACACAAGAAAAATTCAACACAAATAGTTTCCGGACTGAGGAGTTTTCTAACAATATTTTCCTCCGATATTCCTGAATGCAAGACGACATGCAGTTACGATTCACCCGTTCAGCAGTATCATTAAATCTACCCACTATTCTCGGTCCTTTCTATTTCTCATTTTCTTTTATAAATATTCTCAAACGCTATGCTTGAAGTTGCTATCCTAATTACACGATATTCATGAGAGTTCTCTTCTTTTTCTCGCAGAATAGCATGAAGCGGCTACTCAGTCTTCTTAGAAACACTGCTCTTTCCCATTTCCCTCTTCGCTACCCTTTCTCTCTCCCCACTGCTTTAGACAATGATATATACATATATATATGTGTGTCATGTATGTGTGTGTGTAATTTTTTTTTTTTTGCTCGGTAGAGTTTGATGTTTGTATTAAAGATTAAGATACTACTTAAAGGTTGCAAAAATTATGTACAAATCTGTATGAAATCTGGCTGGCTGGGTGTAACTGATGATGAATATGCAAATAATGGTACAGAATATAGAATGCTAAGTAATACGTTGCTTTTGAGTTAAAAGGAAAAGGACACTGTATCGAATACGCTAATTAAAGAAATAATTGGATTCTTCTTAACAATTATTTACATACAAATAAGGCCATCAAATACTTCTGCCATAAAAGAAACATACAGTAACTTACAGTTGTACCTATCAATTATGCTTAGCAACTAAAATACAACAGAAATACCGCAAACACATTATTTATGGTGTCTCATTTTGAAAAAGATTATCTTACCAAAACCATTCTCCCTATGATCTTCGTCAAAATAGAACATTGCGTTGTTTGCAGCTTTTCAATCCAAAAATTCTGTTTCCTGATGTAAAACGCGTGAACAGATCTAATGGATGCTACGCGAGGTAGAGGACTGGAAAATAAACTGCTGTTGGCGATTTGATATCAATTTCACTGAATAATTGAGCAGGTTATATACCTGAAAATTGTAGTCCCTTAAAAAATTAAGCATTTCAATATTTCTTAGTATTAAGTATTTCAGTTTTTTTTTTTTTTTTTTCACATTTGGACTAAACTATATAAATGAAGAATCTTAGTAATAATGCACCTCCAAGATAATATCACACGTATTTCTGCTGCATACTGATTGGCAGCACTCGTACCAGGAACGCTAAAGCTCATCTCAAAGTTTTGAGCGCTACTAAGGCCTCGCAAACCGGACAGGACACAGCTTTCATCACTACCATCAATATCAACAACTGTGACTACAGCTGATCCACTTCTACTGCTGTTACAAGCACTGCTGTATCATTAATTCACGTTTTAAATAACAGACAAAACTTTTGAATTAGTTTTCCTGTTCCTTATCAAAAAAATTCCCATTGGACAACAGCAAAAAATAAAAAGAGAGATTTATGAAACGGCACTAGGCAGATTTTTCCACATCAATAAAAAATGTAAAATTTAGAGGGAATTCCTAGAACTTTCCATAATCTTTATATCTTTATACTCTACTCGATTCAGATCCACACATATGTCAAAAAAAAAAAAAAAAAATTGCATATTATACATGAACTACACTGCTTTTGCTGAAATTAGTGAATAAAAGAAATGAAACCTAATTAATCGAAAACCGAGTAAACAAATACAGCAAATAAACTAATGGCAAACTATCTATAATTCGATGCATCAATCAATCTTTTTGCAGGAAATAATCATCTTTTCAAGTATCAACCTCTACATTTACTGTTCGGAGTCAACATATATTTATATAATTTTTTGCCAAAAAATTGCATGCAACTGAGATGCATATGTGTCCTTTGCCTTTTGTTAGTTTTAAGATTTTAATTCTTACATAGCAATGAAAACTAACAAAACCCTCATTAATTTCCTCATTACTGTATGTAGCTAAATATGTTGCACATAAGACGTTGCATTCATTTTTCTTGTAAAATGACTGAGATATTCCCAAAAATCAACGACAGGAGCGGAAATTTTGTTACAAATAAAGAAAAATAATGCTAATGCAGTTCCTTGCAATTTCAATTTCATTGTAAAAAAAATTTCTTAACACCAGTGCACAGATCATCGGAAGGACGGAAAATCAAACAACGTCACCTTATGATCAAAAATTACCGGCAAACATTTCAAACTTCATGTGCTCATAATGTGCAAAGTTTTCTATCTATTTCTTCTTCGTTCCAATAATCAATCATTTTTTTAATCCATCCCCTTCTTTTGACAAAGTTTGAATAAAAATTACAATTCGTTGAAGTTTGTTTGTGGAATCTTTAAAAGTTGTTATTCAGTCACTTTCAAGATATCAAGTTAAGTAATTCCCAAGCATAATCTGTTGCAGAAAAAGCGAAACTGTAAGTCTCCGTAATCAGACACGTCTCATACAAGCGATTTTGAGGATTCATTGAATAGAGATAATGAAAACCAACAATAAAGTGTCAGAATATAAAGCAGGGAAGTCAACAAACAATGAAGCACTTTGTTATGTGTTCAGAAAAGCTTTTTTAGGTACGTATTGCGTTTCCTAGTGATCAGCTTAAAATAGAAATCAAATTTTCGGAACAAAAATATGGAAACAGAAAAATACAATAAAAGAACAGTTTGTCATTATTTTTCGTTATCGGAACAAGAGTTTTAGTAATGTATCTATTCTACATATCACTCAAACAACGAAACTTAAATTTTTCCGCGTCATAAACTATTTTAAAATTTTATTCTAAAATATTTAAATTTCAGTTACCGCTGCGAATTAAACCTCTTTTCAAATCATACTGAATCATCTGTTCTCGTTTCTCCTTCCAGCCTTCTTTACAAAACATCAGGTTTTCACTTCTAGACTCTTTTTTTTTCGTTGACTCTCAAGAAAAAAAAAAAAAAGATCTGAAATGTGAAGAAATTGCAGGAGCAGGTTTACCAGATCTTCCTCAGCATCCTAGTTTTCAGTGTACATAATTTAGGGACTGAAAACAATCGTATGAAAATTTTGAAATCTATAAAAATGATAACTTCCATGCAAACCTCGTAATGTTAATTTTGCCTGAACAGTTTGAGACGATAAGGCTAAATTATTTCAGTTTGAGTTGTTTGGTAACCAGATGAATTTCACTTTCACCAACTATTGCGTTTCTCAGCCAGTAGGATCGTAGTGACTAGTGCACACGAATTCCTTCCTTCGCTAACCGAACTCTGCAATAAAACGTTTAAAAAAAACAAATAACAATATAAGAAGACAATAGTGGTAAAATAGGAAAACAACTGTGATATAAATTTCTTTAAAAGACGTCGAGTTTCAAATGAAAGTGAACAAAATATTAAGTGATTTGAAGAAAAGTATGACTAATATCATCATGTTAATTAAAGCTTTGAAATGGTAAGAAGACAATAGTGGTAAAATATTAAAAAGTTCATGTAAATCAATAGCTCAACCATATACTTTGAAAATAGTATTCAAAACCTAAAGTTTAATCTATCATGGATCTTGTCATAACTGAAAACTTGGATGATAAAAAAACTGAGCTTTGCAAATTGCTCTCTCTAGGGATTATTTCACATTGCAGAGAAATGAAGAACTCGATAATTTTCTAAAAAGAAGATATGAATTTGCGAAAGTATTGTAGAATCTTAGAATATATAACTAGCGGTGATGAGAGGTTTTCTTTAACGAAGACGAAAGCAAAGCAAAAAAAAAAAAAAAAATGATTATCAAATGATAGGTATGACCCAGGATACCAATAGTCTGTTGCATGCAACTTCACCCATTGAAAAATTGCAGCTCATTTTACCAAAAAAATCTTCCATACAATCTAGCGGTATTTGTTATGTAAATTACATAAATAATAATCGGGCACAAAGGAAAAATGGGCAGTAGATTCGCTTATGCATGATATGGCGTCTTTTCGCATATATTTGTAAAAGTTGCCTTACAAAGTTAATAAATAAGCCTTTTTGAGTGCTTTTAAAAATGAAATCTTCTCTCAAGAATAACTGAATATGGGAAAGCGAAATTTTTTCATCAAGCCAAATAGTCAGCTTCAGAGGAAAATCACTGAATTACAATACTAGAAAGTAGAAATTATCAAGATAAAGGTTTAAATAATGCACAAAAAGTACCAATTCTCTTGTGGAAATTGAAATGACAAATTTTCGTTGCACTGTATTTTCAGTAAATATAAATTAGTAAAATACAAAACAAACTGCTATAAAATAACTTCCATAAGAGGTTAAATTTGCACATAATTGTTAAATTAACCGCGCAAGCTTCTAAAAAACTGTGACATGTAAGACTAAATAAGTGTATGTATCTACCTGCACAATTCATTTATTATACCCAATGATATACGTGATGAAAAAAGGAATACCACTGATAATAATGGAAGTCAAAACTTCACGTACCGAATGGATCGGAAATACAACTGTGAAGTAATTGCATTAAAAATCCTTGTAAGGAAAGAATAACTTCCGTATATTACCTTAGTTTTTTTTTTTTTTTTTTTTGTACGTTTTTTTTTACTTTTGGACAAACCTTTTACTAAATTTTATTTCATTAAATGCATTGAAGTGCGATCAAACGAAAAATAAATTAATGGTGCAGGTATATCCAACATTCTGTTGAAATTATCAAAGAGTAAGTCTTTTTTGTATTTGCAAAAAAAAAGCATAACGAAAGTATTCAAAAGCAAATTTTCAAAATCTCATTTTTAAATCCGAATGGAGGTCATAAATACGCCAAACTTATTAAAATCCATTGCCTTATTATCATTACATTAATTCTCTTCAAGTGTTTATAAAACGAAAAACAATAAATGAAGAGCGACCAGGTGAACAGATAAACAGGAATCGATCAGCATAGCATACATGTATGATTGTATTTCATCTATCAGAAACGAATAATGGGTAAATGATATTGTGCTCCTCTTGAAACGCAGGGAACGCAACGCAACGTAAGAAGGCAAGACGTGGAGCATTTATAATACATCCCAACGTGGTCAACCGGTTAAAGGCATTATGAGGAGAAACGGAGATGTGGGTCCTTATGTTCCTATGTCATCATGATGAGCAGAATGACCACCTGCTCATAATTAGGAGTAATGAAATGCCGAAAAGTCGGCAAAAATGAATTTGATTGATTTCGAATGAAATTATAGTTTATTAACGCTACAGTTAAGCATCTTTCCTCTAAGAAAGCAATTCAAAATGATACCATAGGGCGTGTGATACACGCACACGTATACACAACACGCACGCATACACGCACGCACATTAGCAAAATTTACAGCTGCTCTTTTAGACCAAGCCGATCAGTCATTTCAAATGTTTATGAGAAATGGAAAATGAGAACTGCGTGAGAGGGAATTAATCAATGAGTTGTCCAACAATATAAATGATGAACAGAAAGAAGTACAATTTCAATTTCGGATAAAATTTAATTCAAAATTTACCCATAATTTCAAAGGTAGGTGAAAAATAGGTAAATTACCGATTGAATATTGAATATGGGTTTCTTACTAGATAAATAATGGTTTTATCCAACATCGTCTAGAAAGGTAAGAATGAAAAAAGAAAACATAAAATAGGTCAAGAAAGAGAAAGGATAAGAAAGAAAGAATTGAAAGATTTTTGGAAAGCAATCATCGTCATCGTCATCATCAACATCATCCTCATCATCGTCGTCGTCGTCGTGGTCGTCATCTCATCTCATCTTCATCTCACAGCAACGTCTACAAAGCTTCCTTGTAACATCGAGAACCTTCCAGAAGCATTTCCCTTCACCGACCCAGAGCACCTCTCCAAACGGACAGCTATTGC